GCCGCTGAGCCGGGCCGGGCTGCGGGCCCCGCGGAGGGACTATGGGCAACGGGATGTGCTCGCGAAAGCAGAAGCGGGTTTTCCAGAGCCTGCTGCTGCTGAGCGTGGTGTTCGGCTTCATCTACGGGGCGATGCTGTACTACGAGCTGCAGAGCCAGCTGCGCCGAGCCGAGGCGATGGCGCTCAAGTACCAGCAGCACCAGGAGTCGCTCTCAGCCCAGCTGCAAGGTAACGCGGCTCCCTGCCCCCCAGCCACGAGTCTCTCCCCACCCCCGCGCACATCTGCCCCGCAGCTGCCGCACCGCTCCCTGCCCGCCCTTCCCCCGGGCCTGCCGCCACGTGCAGGGGAGATGCTCCCCTCGAAGTCCACTGACTTGAATGTGGCCAGGATCCCCTCCCCTCCCCTCCCCTCCACAGGGCCCTCTTATTGCTGAAGGATCACAGGGCACCTTGCAGCTGCCGGCGGAAAAGGCAAACTCGCTGCATCCCCCTTTTTCTTACTCTCCTGGCCCCGCAAAAGCCAGTGGCTGCATTTTGGCTTTTGCCACTGCTTTGCGTTTTGCCTGTGACACCCCATTGTGGGAAGGGATGGGACCAGCTTGAAAGTTAAGGGTCTGTTGCTACACCAGGTGAGGAACGGTTCAAGTCCTCTTTCCTGAGCTAGTTTAAGAACAGAGAAGAACAGGCTCTGTTACTGGCTTTGACTATTTTGGCTCAAAGCAGTTGCCTAGAAGTGGCTGCTCATCTCCAGACACTTCCAATTTTAGGATGCTCGAAATGGAGATTATTTTGCCTAGGAAACTGATCGCTCTCAGTTCCCAAGGACTTCTGCATGCAAAGATGTCAAATTGTATATGGACCATCAGTGCTGTGTAAAGTGCAAAACTTTTTAAGTTCCTTTTTAAGTCCCAGCTGCTTGAAGTCAGGCACACACAAATCAGTGACTGCTTTTGAAAGCTTTGGCCTTAGTATGTATAGTTTCTGTTCAAAGTGTTTGAGGTGGCCACAATTGAATATTGAGCATGTGATGCGTTTAACCGTCCTGGAACTTTACACGCTGCACCAGCGTTACACATTGCACCAACTGTACAAACAGCAGTAGGATGAATACTGTTGATTTGATCTTGCAACCTTTACACATGGACAGCAGGATTGGGTTAAAGGTTTTTAAACTCTTATTGGCGCCTACTAAATCTGTGCAATAACAAATTCCAAGTCCATGGTTACTTAGTTTCAGCATCTCCAGTTCTGATAGAACAATGCTATGGAACACCTTGGCGGTGGCATCACTGTAGTGACCGAGGAGGCATGAGGGGAAGAGATGTGGTTGATGGATGAAGGGCTGCTGTAGCTGGTCTGCATATTTGCCAAGAGAATTTGAAGAGGAAATGGAGAAAACCAGAGCATCTTGTTCCTTGATCAAGTTAAACTTCAACAACTTTCTGTTACTTTCACTGACCTAGGGGACAGCAGAGTAACTTTATCGGTGGCATTCATCCTACAGATTGAAACTTTACCAAGATAGAGAAGTGGAGATAAAATGGCTCTGCACACTGAGGCTATGTTATAATTAAACTATTCACTTTGTAAACTTTATGGGTTAGTGACTATTTTCCCATGAAAATAAATGCATTAAAAAACAGGAGAGAAACAATCAATAGAAACACCAGAAAAAACATGTCTCATGCTACATTATATATAATTTTCCTCTTACCATTTTAAATTAATCGCTGAACAACTAATAATGTTTCCCCCAAGGTTAACTTATTTTAATAATATATGCTTAAAAAGGAGAGAGTGAGCCTCTTGGGCATATCAAGCATATGTAAAAGATTTTTCTATCAAAAGATACCCTACAGGTAAACCTTTTTACTAAAGATAAATATACATCCCTTCATCTAGAGAAATCAAGAGACACCAGTTTTACAAAAAAAAGACATTCTTGAATAGATTTTTCTTTTTCTTTCTGAAATTTCTGGGAGGTAGGCTCAGAGCCTCAAATAGTATTTCTTTCTAGCCTCCTCCCTGGCTAAATACATCTCCCATGCATTTTCCATCCTGTGCGCACCTAACGGCACATTGATGCTGAATTTGAACATCCTTGCACCTTGTATAGTCATTTCCACTAATGCAAAGTACCTTTACTAAAGGTAAAGCATTATCCTTGGCGTAAGTGCGGGGAGAATTCTGATTTAGCATTTGATATTTTTATTTTACATGCAGTATTTTATAACAAATTAGCACAGAAATAGATGACTATACAAGGTGGATCAAATAGACCTTTTGTACAACTTCAGCTTCCCGGTGGGGGGGTGTTGCATAGCAGCAGGGAAAGTTAACAACTTTTGTAAAGAGATACACGCTTCTAAAACAACACAAACAAAAGCATTGACTGAGAACATACGGGCAGGTGCAATATCTGACTGTACTTTGAACTCTTATTTTTAAGTGACCTGGGTTTTAAATTGGCCGTGTCCCTCTCAAAACTCTAAAATGTTTACTTTACAGGGCTTCGTTTGATTTGGATATCTTTTGAGTGTAAAGAACCCAGATTATTTTTGTTTGACTACTAATGGCTTAAATCTAGAAATAAAATAAGAAACAGATTGTGTAGCCATAGGCAAACCTCAGTGTAGAGAAAGTCAGACTATTTATGGAGACATTTTTGGCTTTGAACATTTAATTCACTACTTTAATCTTGTGTGAACTGGGGAGTCTATTCTTGTTGCTGTTCTAACAAAAATCTATAATTAGTTGGTCATACTATGTGCGTGTCTCATTTTATATAATCAGTTGTTCTCTTGTAATATGGATACTTGCAGAACAGTAATTTTGGAAATGGGAACATGCTAGGGCAATGTACGCAAATACATTAAATGGGAACTAGAGAGGGTAATACTTAGGGGTGCACTAATAGAGATTTTTTGGGCTGATAACAATGGCTGACTTTTAACAAGCCATATTGGCCAATAATGATTTGATTGCTGATATGCAGCGCAGAGAACAGCGTCCAGCTGGTAAGCCTGTGTGGGGGAAGAGGCGATGGGGGAGGGAAAGGGTTGGGGGGGTGCATTTTGAAGCCCCCACGGTGAAGGAAGGAGTGGGGCTGGGGCAGGCACTGCACAGCCAAGACAGAGTGTGGGATGGAGCCGTGAGCAGCTCGTCCAGGGGGTGTGCAGGGGAGGGGTGGTGGCTTCTGTTGCTATGCACACCCCAGGAGGGCATGGGGCGGCATGTGCCCCCAGATCTATTTGCGGGCTGAAGGCACGTTGCTGCTGCAGGGTGGGGCCGGGGTGGCACTGAGTTCTTCCTGGCAGGGGCCTGGGCTGGGGCTGTGCTCAGGGCTGCAGTGGCAGCGCTGGGAGGGGGGCTACAGGGAGAGGGCTGCAGCCACCCCAAAATTCACTGTAGTACCCCTCCCAGCGGTGCCGCTGCCCACCCTGAGTGCAGCCTGTCCCTGCTGGAAAGAATCCGGTGCTGCCCTGGCCCCAGCCCACAGTGGCAAACTGCGCTCGCCCCATGTGCAGATCCAGGGGCGCATGCCCTCCTAGGGTGCATGCACCAGTGGGAGCCATGCTCCAAAACTCTAGAAAATTCAGAGCAGCATGTCTCTTCCTTCTCTCCTGATTGAGCTCATAAAGAAGCAGCATTTCCTCTCTTTGGCCAACAGGTTGCAGTTTTTGGAAGTCTGAGCCTTTTAGCTGGGTCTGTGCTCAGGGCGGCAGTGGCAGCGCGGGGAGGGGGGCTACAGGGAGAGGGCTGCAGCCACCCCAAAATTCACTGTAGTACCCCTCCCAGCGGTGCCGCTGCCCACCCTGAGTGCAGCCTGTCCCTGCTGGAAAGAATCCGGTGCTGCCCTGGCCCCAGCCCACAGTGGCAAACTGCGCTCGCCCCATGTGCAGATCCAGGGGCGCATGCCCTCCTAGGGTGCATGCACCAGTGGGAGCCATGCTCCAAAACTCTAGAAAATTCAGAGCAGCATGTCTCTTCCTTCTCTCCTGATTGAGCTCATAAAGAAGCAGCATTTCCTCTCTTTGGCCAACAGGTTGCAGTTTTTGGAAGTCTGAGCCTTTTAAATCTTTTTTTAAGGTCTCTTCAACCCCAATTCACATGAGTAAACTTCCCTGGAGTGAAACAGCATTTGCCTACACTAGAGCTGAATTAATAGAAATGTAAGGACCTCAACTGATCTAGTTCAATTCCTTGCACTGAGGCAAAAAATACGTTTATCTACAGTATAGCCCCTAATGTGATGTTTGTGGCATCGTCTCTTCACTGGGTTTTCATGCAATTAAAACAGAAGAATTTCCACTCTTTCC